TTTTATTTTTTTGAAATCAAGTCCTATGTGCAATTTTAGTTCCAAGTACTTGTCGAGGTACTTGTCAGCTAAACCAGCGAAGAGCGCGGGGCAACAATGGTGCTCCCGACTGGGCGGTGGGGGGACTCACCGCAGGTGGGGCAGGCGCAGGGGAAGCAGCGGCCGCGGTGCAGGTCGCGCACGTGGTCGAAGAGGTGCTGGGCAGAGAAGAGGCGGTGCGGGCAGCACTGGCAGTGCAGCCCGTCCTCGGGGGCCGCGCCGTGCGCGTCCAGCATGTGCAGCTGCACGGCGAGGCGCGACAGCAGGCGCGCGGGGCACGCCTCGCACGCGAACACGCGCGCCGGGTGCATGACGGCCATGTGCACGGCGCGCATGCGCTCCGTGTGGAAGGACGAGTCGCAGGTGGCGCAGCGGTACCACTGCTCGTGGCTGTGCCGGCCCAGCCGGTGGCGCGCCAGCTCGACCCGCGACCCGAACTCGTCGTGGCAGTCGAGGCACTTGAAGACGACGGGCGGCTGCCGCTCCGTCCTGACCACCGGCCTCGCCCCCGCCGCGGGCCTCACGCCCACGGCGGCCACGGCGACCACCGCCTTTGAAGAGGACTTGGCAGCAGCTGACGTGGGACCGGCCGAGGGAGGCGCCTCTGACATAGCGGAGGCGGGAAGAAGAGATCTGGTCGCGGGCGGAGAGGTGGGTGGAGTAACTTTCGCTGCGGGTCGCGCCACTGGTGCGCTGGTTGCAGCCGGCGACGTGGGCGCTGGCTCCCTGGTTGCAGATGGTGAGGTGGGCGCCGGAGTCCTGGTTGCAGCTGGTGAGGTGGGCGTTGGAGTCCTGTTAGCAGCTGGCGAGGTGGGCGCTGGGGTCCCAGTTGAAGCAGGCGATGTGCGCGTTGGAGTCCTGGTGGCTGCTGGCGAGGTGAGCGCCGGAGACCTGGTTGCAGCTGTCGTCGGGGTGGAGGAGGGCGGCGTGCCAGGAGACGATTTAATGGTGGCCGATGGCGAGCCAGGGGGAGAGGGAGAGAACACGGACAGCCCCGCACACGCGTCCCAGACCGCCACGTCCTCGTACTTCTCCTCGACCTCCTCCTTGATCTCCATCTCGTCGACGTCCACGTCGTCCTCGGCGTGGCGCAGCGCGTGCCTCTCGGCCTCCTCCTCCGTCGGGAACTCCCGGCCGCACCACGCGCAGCCGAAGGCCTCCACCTCGAGGGCGTCGTCATCCGTGCACATGTAGGCCACCATGCAGTCCTCCAGCGGCTCCCCGTCCTCCTCCTCGTCGTCGTCACCAGACGGGGGGCTGCCTCCGGCGGCCGCGTCCACCATTGTTGCCGGCCCAAACAGACCGACGTCACCGGCGTCCTCCTCGGCCAGGACAGCGCACAGCGGGGACGCCACCTGCTCGGCGACGGCCTCGCTGGTGGTGAGCGCCGCGCCGGTACGTAAGTTGGCCTCGACGGCAGCCCCGATGTCGACGGCGGGCTCCTGTGGCAGCATGTCCTTCGTGTCGATCCCGGTGGGCAGCGGGTTAAACTGCGTCTGGGTGGTGGCGGCGACCTGCTGTAGCTCTACAACAAAGACAAGGAACACACGGTTACACTCAGCCCTAGTCGCCACAAAACATACAGTACCACCTTCAGAGCAGTACTAATGGAGAGGGTGCTGTGCCGCCCGGGACCCCCGCCCCGCCGCACTGTCCACGGTTCTGTGACGGACCTATGGGCGCGATCGCCACAAATTTGGTACCGACGGACTCGGCAAGGTGCAGGCCAACTGACTCACTTGTTCAAATTGAGCACAACTCACTTGGGGGCCGCCAGGGGCCCGGCCCTTTCCCGGGATTAGCCGCAGCGAGTCGAGCTAAGCATACGGACCCCGCCCGCGCGGCGCTGGCGCAGGTAGCGAGGTCCGGAGGAGGCACCTGCTGACGTCGCTGTCGCCGTCACGTTCGACGACCCTGGCGGCCCCCAAGTGAGTTGTGCTCAATTTGAACAAGTGAGTCAGTTGGCCTGCACCTTGCCGAGTCCGTCGGTACCAAATTTGTGGCGATCGCACCCATAGGTCCGCCACAGAACCGTGGACAGTGCGGCGGGGCGGGGGTCCCGGGCGGCACAGCACCCTCTCAATTAGTACTGCTCTGAAGGTACCACCTACACTCCCACACACGTACCTGCTCCACCGGGACGCGCCTCCTGAGCGGCGACCTGGCCGGCCCTGGCCTTGTCGGCGGCCTTGCGCTCGGCCTTGGCTCGGCGCGCCCTGCCGCGGGACGGCCTCTCGAACTTGAACTCGGAGCAGTTCTCGCAGGTGCAGCGCCGGTTGGGGCAGCGGTCCGGCTTGTGCCTGCGCACGAGCAGGCCCTGACCGTGCACGTGGCAGCGCACGCAGCGCGGCTGCGGCCGCACGCACTCGCGCGCGGGCGGGCCGTCCTCCTCCAGGTCGTCGTCGGCCGAGAAGCTGAACACCTCCAGGCGGCGGCGGTGCAGCAGCGCGCTCCTCCGGGTGCCGGTCTCCACCTTGACCACGCTCTTACTGGGCGAGCGGTCGCCCCTCGGCGGCGACATGGGCTCGGCCTTGATCGGGCTGCCGCGGATGGACTTGGGCGACGGCTTGCCCGCCGTGAACGGGCGCGACCTCCTCAGCGACGGGCCGCTGCTGGAGCGCTTGGACTTGAAGACGACGTACACACCGTGGGGCGTGACGCTGATGCTCTTGGGCCCGGCCCAGGCCCCCGCCCACGCCCGCGGGCCCGCCCCGGCCCAGGCGCGCTGCCCCAGCGGGGCGCACATCCACGACAAGTAGGGCGGGTCGCGCTCGCCGCTGCGCCGCCGCACCTTGACGGGGCCCAGGACGCGGGCGGCCTTGGGCTTGGGCGGCAGCGGCGACTCCAGCGCGCACAGCGCGGCCTCCACCGCCGGCTTCGACACCTGCTCCAGGTCCGTCTCGACCGTGAGCGGCTCCAGCGGCGTGCTCTGTCGCTCCTCGTGCACGTCGTCCTGTTTGTCAGGTTCATGCTCGGTGTAGTCCCAGGGGGACGTGTCGTGTTGGTTCTGACCCGGGTCGTCGTGAATCTCATATGGTGTAAAGTCGGTGTCCCCGTGCGACGAGGTCGTGTCCGCGGCGCCGTTGACGTCGTCCTGAACCGGGTCCTGGTCCTCTGGCCGAGGCTCCAGCCTCATCCGGAACCTCTTGCGCCCCGTGTTGACTGGGGCGGGCGTTGGTTGCGCTGGTGATGGCGCAGGTGCCACGAGCCGCTGCAAGCGGACGGCGCAGAGGCGGTCGACGCCGTGCTGCCGTAGCAGCCGCGGGTACGGCGAACCTTCGGCACACATCCAGCAGCCGAGGCAGTCCTGGTAAGGGCAGCGGTGGGGCGCGGGATGCGGCGCACCGTGGCGCCAGCACGCCGCGCACCAGGCGGCAGCACCCGGTCGTCGTCGGCAATCCGCCGGAGGGGTTGCGGCCTCGGACTTGCAGAACAGCGTCTCGTCAAGGATGGTGGAGTAGAGCAGCTGTGCGTTGGGCGGCGCGCGGGCACCGCGGCCAGCGGCCCCGGCCCCGCGGCCGCGCCCACGGCGTGCTGCAGGCGACGGTGAAGAGGTCGTCAGTCTCGGGGTTGGCGCCGCACGCGCGCCGCCCCGTCCCCCGCGGCCGCGGCGGTGGGTGGACGGGGCCCGCCGCCACGAGGCCCTCGCCGTCGGCGGCATGGGCGGGCCGCACCGGGACCTGTGCGCATCGGCGACCTGGAACACGTCACGGAAAGCAAGCCGTCAATGTGGCGGACCGACTGACTTGGGATTAGCGACCCGAAACGGAACTGTGCTTGCGGCTGGTTGATAACTTGGATCGTTGTTTACACACTCCGGGGCCGGGGCCCATCAGCTGTCGTCGTGGGCCCACTCGGCCCACTCCCCGTGCTCCCGTACAGTAGAGAGACAAAACAGTGCACGGGGGCCTTCCCCAGGCCGAGCACACCGGGCTGACACATTCCCGGCGAATCAAAACACCGGGCGCCCGTTATGCGAGCCCTCCCATTGGTTGCACATTGGCGCAGGGGCCTGGGGAGGGGGGGGGGGGAGGCGCTCGGCTCGGCTCGGCTCGCGCAACGTTGCCAGGCCGGCTCGGCTCGGCTCGCTCCTCGCTCGGCGTCGCGGCGAGTGCTGACGAAGCGGGGAGAGCGGTGCCGCGGCCGCGACGGAGTGTCCACACGACTTGGCGGATGGGATGGGACGGAACGGGAACGCGACGAGCCCCCACCCGCCCCGTCCGCGTGTGTGTGTGCGTCTGCAACGCCACGCCGTCACTTCCTAGCCCAACCCCTCCTCACCTGCGGGTCGTCCTCACTGCGCCATGGTCCACAACACGAGTCTTCTCGTCCTGTGCTATCTGCCAGCAGTTGTTCACGACGTGACGGCCGTCCACGCGGACGCCGCGGGGCGTGGTCGGGCGGAGGACAAAATAATCTTTACGCTGCTCGGCAATGCAATGGAGCGACGCGGCGAGGACGCCTCCCTCCTCCGCGACCAGCCGGGTCGGAGCCCTGGCACAGACTGGCGGCGGCGGGGCGTGGCGGGGCGCGGCGCGGCGGAGAAGGAGGGGAGGGGGAGGACGGAGATGCGGGCGAGAGGGGAGGGATGGGGGGGAGGGGCGTGAGGAGAGGGCAACGCTCGGCGCTGCCGCGGCCACCACCTCCGCCCCCTTTTGACTACCTGGGCGGATATCCCCAGAAACACTATACTGAGACTGGCCTTTTCAAAGGCAGCATAGGAGTTCACAGGTGAGGGGGAAATGGGAGAGCGGAAAAGTCGGACCTGCTGAGGCTGGTCCTAACTCAGGCAGCAGACGACGCACGGAAGGGCCTCTCGCTCGCACTCATGCACACTGCACTATCTCCATCTCCATCCCTCTCCGGGGATCCGAAAGCGGATGTGAGTGAGAGGGCGCTATTGCCCGGAACAGGCACCTCACTCCAGCTATACCGCTTTCGGACGCCATGTGGGCATCCGATCCCCGTCCAGCTGGTGCAGGTGTGCAGGTGGTGCAGGGCTCTACTCTGGTCCCGACCGGAACCCACAAGGTGACGCTTCGCCCTCGGGATCCAGCTCTTAAGGAAGACGTGGTTCTCAAGAAGACCTCAGTGTGACCCCTTTATGACTTACGTGGTCACGATTCTTGCACTTATGACCTCACTTGTGACCTCAAAAGTGCAAGAATCCTGACCTCATAGAAGTCACAATGAGGTCTTCGTGAGAAAAACGTTTTCCTGGGGCTCCAGCAGCAGAGCGCCACACCGCGACAAATAACGTGCAGGAAAACTCGAGTCGTGAACCCAATAAACCACACCCTACCCCCGCCACAAACGCGAACCACGAGTGTCAAAAGAGAGTGAGTGGCTGCCGAAGCCACCGCGGTCAGTGTCACGCTGCCGTCAGTCAGATCCCAACAACAAGTACTCAGACTCGCCCCTCGCGGGGATTTAGCTGATCCTGAGGGGACTCTAGACTCTGATTGCTCTGATTACAGCGTGTCCTTGGGTTCCTCGAGGGGGAGAGGAGTGGCCGGGGTCGTCGGTGTGTCGTCAGGGCGCGTGCCGTGTGCGGTGTGGTGTGATCGCGGGCTCGGGCTCGGGCGTCCTTGTCCAGGTCCAGGTCGCCGCCGACGGGGCGGTGCGGTGGTGGTGAGGGCACGGCGGCGGGGAGATAGGGCGGCAGATTCGCGAGGAATCCGTCGGGCCTGACGGTCGACGGCGGCGTGGCCGATAAGGCCGAGGAGGGGCGGAGGGGCGGGGACAGCAGCTGTAATCAGGCCGCGCAGCAGAGCCTGGCAGAGCAGCGCAGGTGCACCTCACCTCGGCCAGTCCTCAGAGTCCTCCCCACACCGGCGGTCAGCTGATAGCCGCTCAGGTGAGCCCCCCTGGCGACGCCCCGCGACACCCGCCAGCACACCAGCCGCACGCTCTCCGACCCTCCCCCTTGCTTTCGACTGCCCCATCCAGGAACCCGCCCGCACCGGCCGACACACGGACCACGACGCCAGCCACCATGAACATGGACACGACCCCCATGCCCATGGACATGAGCACCCCGATGGACATGAGCGGGGGTAGCGGGAGCCACATGATGATGGTAAGGCGGCACCGGCACCGGGACCTGCAGTAAGCTGCGTCCACGAACAGGCCCTCGATGAAGCCCCCTGGCTTTTGCAGAAAATGTGGTTCCACGGCGGCACCATGGAGATGGTCGTGTTCGACTTCTGGAAGGTGACCGACGACGGAAGCATGGCGTACTCGTGGTTCATCATCTTCGTCCTCGCCTTCCTGTACGAGGGCCTCAAGTACTACAGGTAGGCGAGGTCGCGAGTCACGGCGGCTTGCTCGGGGATTCCCTGGCCGGTCGGCGCCAGCGGGGCCACGTCGCACGTCGGTTCGGCGGACGACTCGACTTTGAACATTCAGAACAATGCCAATGAGAACGGTGTAGTCAAGATGTAACAATGTGTTCAGCGAAGGGCTTGTGATTAGTGCTGTTACGTACAAGGAGGTACCATTTCTCATTGTGGCTCCAGGGACTACCTGTACGGGAGGCACGCGCGGAACTCGGCCCTGCAGGCCGCCCGGGACACCAGCAGACTGGCACTCGACAAGAACGCCGACCTCCACAAGAGGTGAGATCGGCCCCAAAGAGATGTCGACTTCGAGGTCACATGGAACTGTCCTGAATTTGTCACCCGAATCCGCAAAGAACACAAATGCACATATTCATTGATATTCTCTAGCTGGGTCGTATGAAAATTGCATTGATATTCTTTATGAGAAGCGGGATACGTTTTTACCGCACTTTCTATGCGTCATCTGAACGCAAAGGATATACTGAGTTGGGCATGATTAATACTGTATACCATAAAATGAAGGAATATCAGAGAACAGCAGTAAAGTTGATATTATTATTGTTGTAGCTGGAGCGGGACCGTGTTCACCCCCTTCCACTTGCTCCAGACCTTCCTGCACGCTCTGCAGTACTTTGTGTCCTACCTTCTCATGCTCATCTTTATGACGTACAACTCGTGGCTGTGCTTGGCCGTCATACTCGGCGGCTCCTGTGGCTTCTTCTTCTTCGGCTGGAAGAAGGAGAGCTCCATCGACATCACCGAGCACTGTCATTAAATCGACTTTGGAGCCACAGAATTGAATTTATCTCTGCTGCAAAGTGGCTTAACATACATAATAACAAATACCTCCCAAAGTTGGATTGTGTAAATAAAGTTGAAGGAGGACAAACAAACTTCCTTCTTTATTTAAAATTCATCACATTTCAACAATCCTAACAGCATCATAATTTTAACAAAAACAAGGCTTAAGAGTTTGGAGTGACCCTTTCCAATGTATCTGTTAGAAACAATCTCACAAAATTATAACACTGTAGGCAGGAGCCAGCAGAAAAAAAAAATATCAGGAGGTTTTTCTACATAAGAATTTTGCTGTGAAAATCAACAACTCATGTAACAAGCATGGACTATTTAAAAGATGTAACAAAAATGTAGAAAGGTTCCATCGAATTGCCAAAAATGTGTCTGTACAGAAAAATTCCAGTCAGGAAAATAAAATTTTTGAAAGAACGAATTCAAAAGAAAGTGCAATTTTGCTTTAACTCTACATAGTGAGTCACTAATGCAATGTTCAATGGATAGAGCAGTACACAGAAATAATAATTAAAATGAAATAATACTATGAAACAATTTTTAAATGATTTTTCTGACATTATACACTAGCCTAAGGCACAGTCTTACACTTACATATGTCTAGAATACCAATAGTCAAACGCCAAACAGGCAGACTTGCCAGATAGCTGTTTGTCCAATCACTACAAAAACACAATCCACTTGCAGTTCATCTAGCAGTGGTCCAACAGAATATTTTATGTAGAAAAAATAGCATACTGTTCTTGAAATTTACAGTAATAGTAATAAGTAATTTTAAGAACTATTTGATGGCAACTGGAAAATGTCCTAACCCATAGCCCAAATGTCAGTCAAAGTTTGACATCGGTATAGGCTACCAACACAGCTTCATCCTTCAATTTCTCAATTATTGCATCGAAGTACCAAATTTCAAAAACATAAACTAGGTATAACACCACCTTACTTTGGTATGAGCAAGGTACTGAATGTGGCACAAAGCAGGGGTGTAATTAGTTTTTGATTTACTTGCTTGTATAGCAGATTTGGCAAACATTTTGTTCATGTCTCTTGACTAAAACTAGGACATGATTGCTTTAAAATTAGCTTTCAATAGAAAAGAAAAATCAGATTCCACAAAATATTCACTCTAGTAAAGGAAACCAAAGCACCAATTATACATGATAAGTACTCTTTTCTAGCAATCAGCATAAGAAACACGGTAATAATAATTCATTTAAAAAAAATGGAAGCAAATCAAATATGTTGGCAGATGTTGACATTATTAAATAAATGTAATCATCATGTCTATTAGCTACATTTGGTACAGAATGACTATGATTATTAATACACACATACTGACGAGACAATACAATCTTTATGCGTAGCCTATAACATATGTTCAAAATCTAAATCAATATAAATACCCATGTCAAAAATATTACTCAGACTTTCTCTTTGAAAACAGAGAAAGATAAGTACTAATCCTTAACATCAAAATATTGTAAGGTAACTTATTTAGCTCAGCACTTGCAATTTTATGACTTGATCATCATTCATACTGACATTATCAGTAACACAAAAACATTGAAGACAATTCCAAATCAACAAAATTGCCTGAATCCCACAAAGTCCGTGCCTCATTGACACACATCAAGACTGCACAAAATACTTCACCTGTCTACAAGTTTCTACAAATACAAGTTAAAGTGAGACTTGTGACTTCCCTCTGAAACAACTATCACTTTTAACAATAGGGAAGCAAAAGCTCAGCGTTAAAAAAAATCGTTGATGGCTATGCAATGTCTTTTGTAGCGCGGTAGCCCTCAGAGCCCAGCGCGCTAGGGCAGCTGGTGGAAGGGGTTGACGGCGCTGACGCTCTGGTTGTTGGAGGCGGCGCCGGCGGCGCTCGAGCGGCCGCGCCGCCGCTGGGGCAGGATCCCCCGGCGGGCCATGTAGAACCTGATGGTGGAGATGGGGATGCCGAAGCGGTCCGAGACGGTCTGGAAGGTGGAGCCCTCCACGACGCAGTCGGCGGCCTGCCGCAGCTGCTCCTCGGACCGGCGGATGCGCGCCTTGCCCGGGCTGCCGAGGCCTCCGGGGCCGCCGCCCAGGCCGCCGCCGAGCGGGCCCCCGGGACCGGCGCCCATGCCCATCATGCCCATGCCCATGTTCATGTTCATCCGGGCCTGGTGGTCGTGGTCGAAGTCGCCGGCAGAGAAGGTGGGCGTCGAGAGCAGGCTCTCGACGGGCACCCCGGGCAGGCCGTGCATGCCGTGCGGGTGAGCGCCCCCGAGCCCTCCCCCGCCGTGCGAGCCCCCGAGCTGGGCCCCGTGGGGGAGCATCTGCTGGTGCATCTCCGATCTCCTGCCTGCACAGAGGGAAGTGCTATCACATACGGCAGACTCTAGCCACGCTCGTCAAGAAAAAAACACAACTTTCTACGTTGTGGCTCTTTCAATAGATTTCAAGTAAAGGTTCTAATGACCTCACAGTTGGGAAAAAGCAGTGCTGGATGAAATACATATCTTGAAGTGGCTGATCCCAAAGCACATTGAATGTACACTGTTACTAAGCATGATGAAAAAACCTGCACATTAATGTAAAAAATAAAGAAAGTTAAGTCAAATAACATCGCAAACCCTTTACTTTCACCTATAGTAAAGAGACAATACATATTCCCTGAAACAAAACTCATACATAAGGAGATCGATTCTAGTTCTCTGAACATTATTTGGCAATAGACGTGTCAATATCTGTTGCTCTCTGCATTTTCTGTTAGGAATTGATTAGATAGATAAAACAAGCATAATATCAAGAAATGTTTATTTTTTACTGAGTTAAGAAAAGAAACAACACAGATCAATTACACTACCTAAATTTATACACAGTATATATTTACAAGACCACAGATAAAAATTACAAATAGATGAAAAAAAAATAACAGTGTTGAAACATACTGAAAAGTCAAGACATAGAAAATGTCTCAACAGAAGGATATCTTAGCTTGCATATGGCACAAAAGTCTGCACATAATAGGACACTAAACAAGGCACTAAAATCAAATGTATGATAAAGAAAATAATACTTCAATATTCCTCTCAGAACAGTCAATCAGTAACGTGCAAACTGGGAAGTTTGCCTCCTCACCCCATGTCGATCAATGGGAGATTGTACACCATGCCTCTTCATGTGGTAGAGCAAAGTTGTTCGAGGAATTCCAAAACTCTTTGCTACAGCGTTGACAGATGTCCCATTGGAAACTTCTCGCAGGCACTGTTGAATGAGGGCATGATCATGTGGACGCCTTCTTGATCTTGGTAACATTCCTTCTGGCCACACCATGGAACCTGCCAGAAGAAAACTGTGTTAGAATCATTTAAAATGCAGCAAGTGAAAGCAGGGCACACTGTGTTAAAAAAAGCTCTTTACTCTTTCTACAAAATTAAAAGCAATACTCACCATAAGGTTTGTGATAACAAAACAGGACATGGTTTAGGGAGAGATTAGGAGGAGGGACTACAAAAAAAGAGTGAACTTGACAATGACAATCATTTATTTCCACTGCAGGAGAACATATAACTCTTGTGTCATTATGAGGACTTCTCTCTTCACAGATGCAGAATTAAACTATAGAAATTATAAATAGTACCCTTCAGGAAGGACTATAAAAATTAAATATTTCTGGTTCACAAGAAATTGTATGAACTGTAAGATCTTGTATGAACCATACACATATTAGTGAAAAGCAGTATTTCCTGTCCTGTTTTTACTTTCTTTAACTATCTCCTTAAATGTGCTTCTGAGGCAAGGAAGAAAACAAGACAACTACCCGAGTTGATTCATAAATTTATGCATTGCACTACGATTATGTCACGCTGTCCTTACAGATAGTCATTAACTCCTTACAAGTGCACATTTTTACAAGTATCTAACATTTGAAAGTAAACTGAATATCTTCAAAAATAAAGGAAGTTCAAGAATTTGCAATCAGTCAAAAAAACCAGAAATCAGTCTTCATAGCGACCATCTCCACTAACAGAAAACAAAATCCAAAATAGGTTGCAGATCGGTAATTATTATGGAGCCATACACACATGCCCTCTCCTGGTGTCAAGTACAGAGATAGAGAAGAAATAAAGCCAAAACTGGTATTTTCTTACAATTTGAAACAATTGAAACAAAAACCCCAAAATACATACTTAACAAGCTGCACTGAAACATACCAGAAGACTTAAAGCATATTTTGAGCTAAAATGAAAACTAAATTTAGCAGTGAGAAAACTGTACAAGATCTATTTCAGAGACATGAAAATGATGGAGAAGCAGTTCGTAAAAATATTGCTATAAAATCACAGTGTCCAGTAAGAAAGTAACAGCTTAATATTGAAACACATATCGCAGAGATGTTGCATAACACAAAAATGAAATTTTCATATAAAATAGAGGAGTATTAACAGCTAATGTGAGAAAAATTGTATAAATATATTACAAATGATAATTACACTATACAATTCAACAACCTTTCACTAATCTTTGTTCCACAAGGCTAAATTATTTAAAAAAGGCACAAAGAAATGTGAGCTGTTCTAACTGTACATCTATACAGCCTACACATATAAAGTTAGCAAGCAGGTAACTGTTCACTTCTTTAAATTACCAGGAATTTAAAATACAACAATAAGAGATTTCTATATTGACCAGATCTCTCTTAATTTTTTGACATGGAACGATGTTTTACACTTTGTCAGCATCAGCTTCCAGAATCCTTCACCTCGACACAAAAAGAAATCTTTGGCTTATGCCACACCAGGATAGCAGCAGTGTTGAAGTATTTAAAATTAAAAGAATGCATATTTAATGTTTGTCAACTTTGTCTGATAAAGTTGGTAGTAAAACCCATCCATGACATCAAGTTAAAATTAACACTCCACCAAAAACAACCAAGACAAGTGAAAAAAAATAAAAATAAAAATGCTATGGCAAAAATAGAGTAGTTGATAACTGAATATTGTGATTTTTAAAAAAAGGCGATTTTAATTTGAAAAATTGAAAACACTTGGATTAAGGATTAATACAGTATCACAATAGCCAGTCTAATCTAACAACACAAAATTATGATCACAACAAAGAACTTTATAATAAGTACAAGAGGAATTCCAGCAGTGTTTGTTATCATTTCAATAATCATAGCTACCTCAGCAATTAGAGAAAAGTGATATTAGAAAAGCACATGCACAGAAGGGAAAGATTTTTTTAAATGTTGACTATGTTACAAATAGAAATAAAAACTTTCAAGATGAGAGAGAGAGGACCATTTTAAAAGCCAACGTAAATTAGTATAATTTAGAAATAATTAAGCTCAGTAATGGTGAAACACAATTGAGCAAAGTGCAACAAAGATATGTTTGAGTACTAGGGCACAAAACTATACCCTTGTTATTTTTTAAAACATGACATAAGTCATTGAACTTGAAAGTTGTACTGCTATGAATGAGGAAATAGACCCATAACATTAGGAAAAAATTCCTACCAGCCCTCCAAACTTCAAACTCACCTGTCTCGTCACCTACTGATGGTCTACAGAAAACCATTTTCAAGATTTTTTTTTTTTTCAAAGATGAAGTTTACCTACCAAGATAAGTAATTTCTAGTATGCATAAAAATCAGTCAGATAGATTTTCTAACAAACAAATGATTAGGGTAAATCAAAATTGGCATCAGCTGGCATATTTTGACCAGAATTATCGTGATCAGAGTCGTCTGAATCACTTTCAGAAACTGATTCATCATCTCCAGGTGTTCCAGTGACTTCGTCATTCGAAGATTTTACATTAGTAGCCCCAACACTTCCTGTCTCTTCCTCATCTTCCTCCTCCTCATCCTCTTCAACCTCCTCTTCCTGTTCATCATCATCCACTTCCTCCACTTCGTTTCCTGGTATGGTTCTCACTTGCCCCTTTTTACTAATTTCCCTACTACCACCAGCTTCTTGGTCAGGTTCGGAATCTAAATCTATTTCTACAGGTGGAGTTCTTGAGGTTTCTATCTTTGGAGGCCTTAACTCCTGAATATCACAAAATTCACTTCCAAATTCACTTCCAAAACCACCACTAAATTCACTATTGAATCCATACTGCTGTTGTTGTTGCTGTTGCTGCTGCTGCTGTTGTTGAGAAACTGAATGAGACGGCTGCCCCACATGCTGAGAAGATTGTGGATTTAGATGCTGATACTGTTGTTGTTGCTGCTGCTGCTGTTGTTGAGAAACTGAATGAGACGGCTGCCCCACATGCTGAGAAGATTGTGGATTTAGATGCTGATACTGTTGTTGTTGCTGCTGCTGCTGTTGCATGGGAGGACCTTGAGACATATGATGGTGCTGCTGTTGATGTTGTTGCTGTTGTTGGTGCTGTTGTATCTGCTGCTGATGGTGCTGATGCTGTTGCTGTTGATATTGTTGCTGATACTGCTGTTGTTGATGCATAGGGTATTGAGGTGGATTTGGACGAGGAAATGAAGGATTCATGAAGGTGCCAGGCATTCTAAAAGGCTCAGAGTAGAAGTGATACCTGTAGACAGAAAGGAGGAGTTAGATGACAAGGATGCAAAAATATGTATCTGTAGACCAAACACTATGTAGTAAATAGAATTTTAAAAAAAAAAAATAACAAGCACAACATGGCTTTGGTTATCAAACCAACAAACTTAAGTCCACTGCTATCACCGTGGACTTAAGTTGGCTGAACCAAAAACCAGTGAACAGTACGTTGTATGTTCCAAGCCTGAACCTTTGGAGAACAAAGTACATTCAAGAAGTGGATACTTACGATGATCCAGATGAAACGGGTCTCCCCCTTTTCAGAGGCAACCGCAACATCCCTGATCTCTTCATGTAATTCCTCAGCGTTGTTGGAGGGATTTGGAACTGAAGAGCAGCTTGTCTCAGAGTGTAACTTCGATCCATCACCAGATGAGCTGCCGCCTTCAAACTTGGGTCATCTCGCTTTGGACGTCCTCTTCGAGCAGTGGAACCCAGCAGATATTCCAAGTGTTGCCAAGCTTTAAAGAAAAATATAGAATCAGTAAATGGCCACGCAACCACTGTACTTAAAGTGCACAGGAATAGCAACTTACTGGGGCTATTACATGAAATAAAAAAACAGAAATTGAAGAAGATATAGTCACATATCAAACTTAAAAAAGGGGGGAGAGCAGAGTAAAAGTTAAACAAATTAAAAGAGGAAAAGTTTTACACGCTTACAGCAGATCTGGAAAGGAGAAAGAAGATAAAACTAAATCCAAGAAAAGAGGAACAGAGAAAGACCAAGAGACCACCCCAAGAGAATGAAGAGTGTAAAGTGTACATGTCAACAAGGCAAGGAAGGTGTTGGGAAGGTGAACAGATAATATTCATTCCTTTCTTTGAAAGCAAGAAAAATATTGACTAGACAATGAGAAACTTAGCATAGATGAACATGGTGAGTTCTGCGTTGTTTCAGGTGTAAACAATCACAAGGCTGTTTTTCTTGTTTGTTTGTTACATAAAGAAAGGAAGTATTAGATCTAAATAGTTCATTTGACCACTTAGGAAGAGTCAGAAAAAATTGACCAAGTCAGAATTAAGTGCATCAGAAAAGATAACTACCTGAAAAAAATTTAAAAATTTTCAAGTTTGCCCATTTGTTATCCCTTACCTTACTTCTATTCCTTCAACTTGTACACAAACGGATACAGGAAGACATAAATAATTTTAAAAATTACGCCCGTTTTGGTTTTGTTTTTTTATGCCGCAGTGTAGCAAACAGAAAACAAGAAAATAAAAAGATGTTTGTCTAAGTGGTTACTTTGCAAAAAAAATATTTATTTGGTAGCCTGACAAAGAGGAAAGGCTGTCCTTTTAACTACAAATCATACAGCTCAAAATGATAATCTCATTCTATTCATTCATTGAATTGGTGGAATAAACCGTAGCAGCAAGGACAATGGTTACAGATAATGAAATTACAGGGAACGAATGAATCCACGCATGTACAGTAAATTAAATGTGAACCTTACTGGCCCCTAAATAAACACGGGACTGATGAGTGCTATCAATTGCTGAGTATTAGTAGACATTGTTGGTATTTTGATGTAAGTTGTAAAAACTCTAGAAATTTCTTTATAAAGAAAAAAACATGCTGCTCTAATTATGTATTTTCAGTTAGTTATAAACGCACTTGATACGAAATGAGTTCTAATTTACTCTTCCCAACAAGAAGCCAAACATACAACACAAATGAAAGTTCTATCCAAATTTGGACATAAGCTGGCACAAGCTTTAACACTACAGAATAAATGCATGGATGCTGGAATACTTACACTAGACTGTATCTTATAAATTAAACTACGTAACTTAACTGTGTCTAAACATGGAAATTCACCACAAGAACCCAGAACTTTATTTTACATGCTGAATTGGCCCTTTGGTCAAACGAGTCTCATTAAATCTCTGGTTCATGTAAGTGATTGGTCCTTTGTTCATTTGGTTTTCTTAGAAGTCAACCTGTTCTAAAATACTGATCCATAAGTCTTATGTCATCACTTGAATTAACACTCAATAATACTGATAAGTAATGGACACTAATTATAGGACAATTCCAGATACTGTAATTAGGTATCCACATAGCAGCTCAGTAATCCTAAAAAGGCAACTTGTGAAGTCACAAATTAAAATTGAAGTACATCCTTATTAATACCCATGATCTCACACAACTTTTTCTCTCCAAACTTTTTTTTGGTGTATAAAAACTAATTGGTTCAATAAGGTTAAAAAATAAACAAAAACAAAATCACTTTATACCCTGCTAGATGTTCAAATTTTTTTTCTTAAATTACTCTTTTGGAGCAACCTACGTCCCAGACAGAAGTCACTGAATAGATTTTTGGTATGGCGTTTTGCAAACCTGAACCAAGATTTACCTACTTAGAGGATAAGACAAACATCAATTTTGGTTCAGCTTCAGGCAAACAAAGTTATGCACTGTCAGAGCAGTCTTCTTTGGAATCAGCCACAACAGAAACTGGAGAGAGCATATCTGAAGAAGCGTTGGGAGATTGCTGAGCAGCTCTGGCTGCAGCTCGACGAAGATATGGTGCACTGAACTGGCTCTGAATGTTAAGTCTTTTCATCCAATCACGTACAGTTTTTTCTGGTACACCATGCTTTCTTGAGGCTTTGTACACACTTTCTCCACTATTAACTTCTGTGAGAGCAGCCCATAATGATGCCTCAGAGTATTGACGATAGAAGCGGGCGCGAGGTACCCAACTGGGTCGCATCAGCATCGAAAGTTCTGTTGAGGAATAACCATTCTTTGAGTAATGCTAAGCTAGGACTGTCAAGGTGAGAGCATTTAGAGAATACTGAAAGAAAAGGCACTAATAATTTTGCAACAAGAAATTCATAAATTGAAGAGTGAGAATTGCCTTTAGGTACATACGAGGTTTCATCAACATAAAGAAGCACACTAAGTGAATAATTTATGGTTACTAATTCCATACAGTCAAATTGGAAAGTAGACATGCTTAACTCATGCTACACACTCAAACTAGTAATGCAGCTAACGGGTAAATCAAATTTTGGACTACTAGGATAACTATAGCACATGCAGCACGCATGCACTTTATATACATGCAATTCTAATAAAAATTAGTACCAACTACATTCCGAGCCCATGCAACACATCAGACGACAATGTAAGATTCCTTTGGAAACAGGCTTATAAACAGTAATATTTGTAAAACTAAGATAGTCAAGGAAAATGTGACTGGGAACAGTCCTCTTCCACCCACCTGACTGTGCTAAACTACATATTAAAAATAAAAAATAAATCAACAACTTTCATAACTCTGAAGCTGAAGCAGGAGTGAAGGAAGTCATCGGCAAATGCTGACTGTACTGTTCACAGAGTAACAGAAATAGTGTTACAGCATCATTTTTTCTGAAAAAGCACAAATTGATTTTAAAAAGTAATGAACTTTTAAAATGATACTTTATCATCTCACATTTTGAGCCTCAAAAACTTCCTGTTTCATTCAGATTTCAAATGAACTGAGAGGCAA